AAGGCATGGTGGAGAAGGAGACCACCAAGGCTGAGAAGAAGAAGCAGAAGGTGGTGCCACCTCTCAATGCAGCCTTGGAGAAGATGAGCCTGGAGACCCACATCCTCAAGTCTGTCCAGAGCATGTCGGACAAAGTTGAACACCTGCAAGCTGAACTTGGCATCGGTCAACCAGGATTACAAGAAGCTCTGCTTGGAGGAGGTCGGCCTCTTCGAAGAAGGCGACGAAAAGCTGAAGGCGGCAGAGAATGCCGTTGCACCCGTCACACAGGGAATCGAAGAAAAGGGTGAGGAATGGAAGGAATCCATGTCCGTGTTCACGGAGGCCCAGCAGTTTCACGACATGATCGGCACGATCAGCACTTTCGTGAAAGACTGGAGCAAGAGCAACTCCGCCCTTTGTGCCCTCAAAGACAGGATCAAAGAGTTCAAGGACTTCACCGTCAAGGCGAAGAGGGGGCTTGAAAAGAAGACAAAGGCTGGCAACAAAAGCAAGAGTGCCCAAACGAAGGCAGGGCTCAATGCGACTGTCCAAAACCGGTGGGAGAGTAAGGAGCATCCTTTCGTCGAGAAGATCCTGACAGCGGCACGGTCGAACAAGCTTCCGACGGAAAAGGGGCTGCAGTGGAACATCATGCAGCTGCTCGATGCGGAGCCGTGGAAGAACGTGGACCCGGTCAAGCTCAACATGGACGAGATGATGAAGATGATCAAAAACATGGACTACTACGAGTTCCAGAAGCAGTGGGTCCAGGAGCGAGCCAAGGGAAAAGGGCCAGATGCGGAGCCCTTCCAGTCTTTGTTTGTCCAAGCCGTGGTCACCAAGACATCCGTGTCCAACATGCAGTACTTCAAGAAGTCTGTGGGCAGTGATGCCTTCCACCCGTGTGTCCAACAGGTGCCGGACACGTTCGCCCCTCACTTCACGGCTCAAGCGTGCAACTCGGCATCCTTGAACCTCGGCACGGATTTCGGACTGGCCGATGCCCGACTCTGTGTGGAGGGTTCCTGCACCCTCATGGGCATCAGCTATCACCATTTGTTCGGCAAACCTGCAAGTCAGGACGATCTGCCGGATGCTCGGAAAAAACTGGAGTCCATGACCTGGGACGAGTGGCACGATGCTTGCGTGGCGAAGGGTTGGTGCTGCATCCTACAGGAGGGAAAGACGGTCATCATCCCGGGTGATCACGTTTTCATTTCAGTGAACATTGCTGCAGAGGAAGTGCACTGCTGCAAGATTCACCTGGTGAGCTTGGGCAAGACCTTGGTGTCTGAGGATGCAAAAACACCCGCCGGCGGCCACATGAGGCGAACCCATCGTTGGTTGCAGATGCTCTGCAGCGAGCAGCCCATCCTGCAACAGATGCGTTCGGGAAAGATCCTGGCAATTTTCCACGAAGCTTTGGAAGCCGAGGCCCCTGAGGTAGCGGTTGCACAAGACGAGCTTAATGCCAACATCGCGGAGGCTCTAGATGAGTTCTGATGAGTTCATTGAGTGGACACAGTGCTGGGCGCCTCTGCCTGAGGCTCACCCTGCAAACGTCCCCACCCTTGCAAGGGCGCCTCCTGGCCCACCCATGCAGGGGCGGACACAGTTTTTACAACATCTGGCGATCATGGCCGCGTCGAGCGGGGACAGGGCCGTTTTCTTTGTTCAATGTCTAGCATTGCAACAAACCAACAAACAGTACATTTGTGACATGCGATTCTGCCGTGAGAGCTGAAGCTTGTGCTGGAAGGTAGAAAACATGTGGCACAGCATATTTGGGCATGGGTTGAGATTTGCTCTTCATTCGTTGGATATGGATTGCTTCTGTGGGTTGCAAGGGTTATTTCCTGGTCAAGATAGTGGTCGTGCACATCGTTTGTCGGTTTGACTGCCTGAATTCACAACAGTGTGCCCAGTTGGATCACATAACCCGTGGACGTGGGGATCTAGCTTCATGCTCACAGGTCTCGAAACCGAATCGTTTGTTTTATGGTATAAGACGATATTGCCATGTCCATTGCCTCGCAGGAATACTGCTGCACCAAAACTGCACGACGTGTCTGCGTGGATCGTCCTCGTTGGGAACTTCCAATGCTCATTGCAGCTGGTGTTGCAAGTCCTCGTCGCGAAGGTTCAATTGCCAGTGGAGCTGGAGTTCTTTGGTTTCCGGTTGCATGGCTGTCCAGTTCCCCGAGCTTGCGGATGACATGGACCATGTCATCTCATCCACAAGCTCGGTGGGCCGGCTCTGTTTCCACTAAGCACACTGAGTTGCGGCATTGGTGGCTCCTGCAGTCCAAGTCTATAACCTTTTTGAGTGCAGATGGTCGGAAGACATCACGGGCAATGTCACCTGTCGCCGTGACGGCTGGTGTTCTTCCAATCTAGCTGTACTACCCGCCATCACAGCAGCTGAGCTGGGTCTGAAAACATTGTCTCCCTTTTCAAAGATGCCGTGGCGGGGGTTACTATGCCGAGTCGGGCCGACTTGGCGTAGTATCCCCCGTCACTGCAGATGAGCTGGGTCTGAAAACATTGTCTGCCTTCACAAAGCTGCCATGGGCCGGTGCGGAGGTACTATGCGAAGTCGGGACGACTTGGCATAATATCCTCCACCCTGGCAGCGTTGGGTTTCTCAGAGCTGCTGGCTGCCGGCTTAACACAACCGCATTCCCTGAGCTGGCAGCATGGCGAGCCGCCGAAGTCATTTTCAAGAGGTCATGTCAGATGTGGTCGTAGCCAACTCGTGGCAGTGCAAGTACTGTGACTTTGAGCTCAGCCGAGAGAAAACAAGCCAAGACCGCTGGGTTCTGTTCTGTGGATATGGACATATTGTCGTGCTCGAAATGTAATTGCACAGTGCACAGCCCGCAAAACATCGAAACCTATTGTTTTGTGTTTCTTTTTAGGCGGCCATGTGGTAAAACACAGTTTTTCGTGAGTGAAATGTTTTGCACCATTTCACACAACAAATCGCATACTCTGCCACGTTTGAAGTTTTATCTGTGCAAAACTTTGCCCATATCCCTGATTCTGGACATGAACACTTCGACGAGTTGAGAAAATGCGAAAGTTTCGTATGCCGAAAGTAGGTTTTTTTTTTGCATTCAAGGACAAGTTTGTGCAGAGCCTCCAAAACCCGGTCTGGGCACTGAAAAAGTTGCAACCGTTTGTAGGGTTCACTTCACCCTATCAGATTAAGGGACACCATATCGGGAACTCAGGTCATCATTGAGGTGCTGCCTGAAGCCCAAGTTTCCGACACTAAACAGTACAGGCTTCTCTCCAATAAGGAGCTTTGGAGGCACAACGTCATAGACGGGTGCTCTCATGGACAGCGACTTTTGGTGCGTGATCCTGAGAACCAGCCATGTGTCAAGTACTGTAACAAGAAATGGGAGTTCTTTTCCACCGACACGGCGATGGAACACAAGCTCAGTGATGCATGCAAGGCAAAGCATAACCATGCTTGCGAACAAGACTACTCGGACTTGATTGGCAAAGAGGTGAGAACCAGTCAGATCTCGAGGAGATTGCTGCGAGCGTTGTCCTTCAAGGAAGGTGATGGTCGTTTGATCTCCATGCCGGCCAAGAAGCCCAAATCCGGATGTGATGGGGTGGTCGTGCACTTTGGACGCGACAGAACCGATGACCGGAAAGGGCTGAGCAGGCAAGTTGATGTTCTGCATGTCGAACCTCCTAAGACTGTTGCTCAAGAAACCGAACTTGTCGCGAAGATCAAGAAGTTGTCTATTAACAAACCATCAACGCCTGTGCTGTTTACAGCATCGCTTTTGCGATCAGGTGGCGGGCAAAGCCCTAAGGCTGCGCCTATGGTGGGGGGTGAGTCTTCTTCGGTTGGAAAGCTCAGTGAGTTCCGAGGAATTCTCAGATTGCTCAAACGTTTGATGAAAAGGTTTTGTGAATCGCCACACGTCTATTTTTTGCATGTTGGAATTGGCCGGAACTTCATGCTCTTTTAGGGTCTAAAGGTTTCAAGGTCAAGGCTGCTGAGCGTGCTGATGCTACAGGTAGATTGACTGGACGCCGGTGTGTGATTTCCAATTTCCTTGATTCGAAGCGTGTTGAAGAGAAGTCTTCGTCCTTTGTCGAACGCAAGATCAGTTGCAAGCTGAGTGATTGTATTCGGGAAGCCTGGGCGTCAGTTGCGCTACATGTCCGCAGCAAATCACGTCACAGTCATCATCTAGGAAGTGAACATGCTCATGAGAGTGAACATGGTCATTGCAGTCAGCAACATGTTGGTGATTCCGCTGAGGCCTGTCACATCAGGTCTCATCCTCATCGCAACTAAGGACTGTGTATTGACCGAACGGGGAGTGTCTGACCTCTCAGAGGAAGACACGAACCGTAAGGTCCTAGGGGTAGGTGGGATTCCTTAACAGACCACCCAATTCCCCGAGCCATGGCTACTTTCACTGGGCAACCTTTCAAATTCCAAAATGTTCCACCTGGTGACGTGTTCCCGACTACCACATTCTGGAATTCTTCAGGTCTTCGTCAAGAACCAGACAACCAAACAGAGGCTGCCGAAGAAGCTCGTTCACAACCGAGTGATCTCCAACAACACCATCAACGACTGGATATTGTATTATTCAGCTCCGCCACTTCTGATGGCGCTGTTATCTGTAAGCCAGTCGACAGGAAGCAACAGTACATCACACGGGTATCGCGAGCTGCTCAAAGCGTGCATTGAGGCGGCGACCAATGAGGTGCAGCAGGGACCATGTGGGGATGTTGTGAAGTATATTGAAAGGGCTTCGAGCATTATCCATCAAGCAGTCAACGACAAACCCGAGCGATTCCCGTTCTTCAACGTGTCAAAGAAAGCAGCATCACTGCAGCATCCGAATTCATTGAAGGAGACAGAACTGGAACACGATTCAATCTGTCGGAGTCTGCCTTGGCTGCCATCAACGATGGCATGTTCTTCAACGAGGCGTTCGTCGCAAACAGTCGAGAGTCGTTGTCCCAGAAGAACTATGCGGTACGAGAAACAATTGGTTCGTCTTCTTCCAAGAACACATTGGCCGCATTCCTGGATCAATGGGTGTGCAAGATTTGGACGAAGGAGGATTGGTGACGGTTGCGAAGATGTCAATCGAGTTCGCAAAGTGTGTTGGCTATGGCCTCAGGACCCACAACGCAGATCTCGAGACGTTCTACCAACGAACGGGTTCGCAAGGTGAGAAACCCAAAGCTTTGGACATGTTCGACTTGATTCTTCATGCCTGCAACCCACCTGACAGCGAACTGGAGGAACCATTAGCCTTCGCCATCAGCTACTTCCAAGCTTATGCGGGTGCAATCAACTTGTTGAGGGCATATCTTTACTACAGTGAGGACAGACTCGTTGGCCACTTGATACACTGGAGTGACGTTCCACGACCAGACCTTGGAATGACAGCAAAGGAGTTCGTCAGGAGTGTGGTGGCAAAGTTTTCCGAACATCAAACGCTTGGAGGATTACAGTTGGTTGAAAGTTGCATACCATTGACCTGGAATCAATTGTTCGTTGAGCAAGGGTACAGCAGTGAATGTGCAAAGAAACGCAGTGCTGCAAAGCAGTGGGAGACCATCATTGACGAGATCAACTTGCATCGTCCTCAAGAGCGCCCAAGTGCTTTACTACCTGGAGATGATCTATTCCCTCCGAACCTAAGCGCACATCCATCATGGGCATATCACGCAGGACGTGTGCTGGTAGAACGTCAGCAGCAAGCTCAAGCGCAGTATGTTCATCGAGTACCTATGCATCCTGGTCACGTTCCTCTTTCTGAAGTATGGGGTGGAAATCCATGGGGGTCGAATGATGTGGAAGGGATGGAACCCACACCAAAGGCGACACCTCAATATGGACCGAAACGTGCAAGAACTGATGGCAGGCCTGATTTGACGAGCTCTCAGAGCAGTCAAGCAGCCGCTTCATCAACCACGCCACCACCTCCACAACCAGAACAAGAACGAAGTGATGAAAGCGATTGGGCAGAAGTTCCTGTGCCTGAGGGTGCAGTTGAATATTCCTTCGACTTCCACAAGGAGGATTTACAATTTTGCAGAGGGAAGCTGGTTCACGCATTGGACAATCCGGATTCCTACATCTTTGCATATGACGAAACTCCTCTATACAAGCCCAACGAGAATGAAGGAACGTTGCCTATTGAACACTATGTGAGACGGTTGGTGGTCTATTTGGGACGTCTGCAATCGGTAACTCAGAACAAGTCTGGTGGTTTGAATGTCCAAGTCTACGTCAAAGCAGGTACGTCAAAATGGCTGCAGATGTATGCCCGGATGTATCATGGATGTGGAATAGGAACATGTGAACATTTGCCGACACCGGCCATGCTCACGGCCGCTGCACTTGTGAAGACCGAAGACGATCTGAAGAAGGACGAGAATGACACGTTTGCATCTGCGAGTCCCGAGGTGAAGAAAGAGTGCATGAACGTTCTACAGGCAGCGAAAGAGAT